TCACAGTGCATTATGGGTATTTTTTAGCCACATACCGTGTCTATCTGTTTTGTTTTCTCTCGCTCGTTGTTTCTTTTTAAATCTCAAGTCATCAGTTCAAATATCAGTAACCTTGAGTGAGAATGGGGGAGGGACGAAAGGTGTGTCGTTCTCATGGGTGTTATCTTTCGACAGTGCCACTCAAAGCCATGGGATTTTACCATCATTACAGCGATCACACGCTCACTCTCAACACACATGTGCCCGCCCCAGTGCCAGACGCAACAGGAAGTGACTGTTGCCTGGGCTACACAAGGAAGTTACAGCATTATGTTCACAGAAACACACATGGAAGTTTCCCTTTCACTAGAATCATCTCTCTGTCAAACGTCATGTGCTCATGAGTTTGTATTCATTAATCAGCAGGGGAAGCCATATTTTATTTTTAGGGCTTTCTGTTTTCAGAGATTATTAATTAAGGGCTGACTTCACAATATGCATCTAGAAGGCCAATCACTCAAGGGTTCGGGCAGTGAACAGCCACTGGGGAAGATATAATAGGAGAGGTAGGACAGGGGAAGTCCCCTCTGTCATGCATATGATATGACCTCTGCACTCACTCATCTCCTCATATAAATCACATTTTCACATGAAAGAAACTTCTTTATCTCACATGCACATAGGCAAAGACAGTAAATTGGGGTCAGGGTGTGGTGGCTCGCTATTGTGTTGTACTGTTTTGTATTGTAATAATGGAAGGAATGACTGTGCCCTGGAGATTCCCTCTCGCTCTCTCTTTCTCTTTTTAAGCTCATTTTTTCCCAGCGGCTGTTGACATAACCATCCTAATTTTGTTGTGCACTTTGGAAAGTTATTGAAATTAAACCAACTTCTGTGGAAGGTCCACTATCATCTGGATATCACATCTTTTTGGGTAGACTTGAGATTTGCGTCAATTTAACCAAAATTGAGTTCAGTTTCATTGGTTTTTATTGGCATGATTGTTTTACAAACAGAGACAAAGCATCAATACAAAAAACAAAAAAAAAGTGATTCCATAAATGAAATGAAATTAAATTTAAAGGATATGATATAAAAATGTATGTATATATTGATTTTATTAATTATTAAAAATTGAAAAAAAAAATGTTTTTAAAGAGACATTTAAAGGGATACTCCACTTTTTTTTTGGAAATAGGCTCATTTTACCATTCCCCCAGAGTTAAACAGTTGAGTTTTAACAATTTTGAATACATCCAGGCGATTTTCTGATATTTAGAAAAATATCAGTAACCAGACAGTTTCTGTTCTCATTGACTTCCATAGTAGGAAAAGAAATATACTATGGAAGTCAATGGAACCAGAATATGTCTGGTTACTGAAATTTTTCTAAATATCAAAAAATCAGCTGAATGGATTCGAAAACAGTAAAACTCAACTGTTTAACTCTGGGGGAGTTATTAAATGAGCCTATTTCCAAAAAAAGTGGAATATCCCTTTAAGGAAGTGGTAATGTACAGTCAGACGGTCATTACTATAACCAAAGAAGCTGATCAGGACCTGAATGAAAGTTAAATATGGGGGCAGGAAATATTGGTTTGAGTTTAAAATAATTTGTTGTTTTTCTTGTAGAGACCACGAAAAGAGAACAAAAGGACAGCTAGGAAATGCGTGTTTCCTAGATGAGCTGTCAGTTATACAGTGTTACCCTGGCCAACAGCCGTTTTTCAGATGTATTTGAATAGTTGCATGTCACGATTGACCAGTTGGAATCAAGTATTTCAGTGCACTGTGAAATAAACTTTGAGAACAGTCTGTAGGCCCACATACATAGACAAATAACTAGCAAACATGGTGGCCATTGGTGTGTTTTTCTGGTTTATATAAATTGACACTCTGTCAACTGTTGTCATGTAAGTTAGCCGTGAGAATACTGGCTAATAAATAAAGAGAACGGATGTTTGATCTGGAGTGAAGTCACTGCCACAAGTACAAGAGTCTTTGTGTCTATAAGTATATTTGGTGATTTGTGTTTCTTTCACTGAACTTTATAAATTAGATAATAATACTACAATGACAGTGTGGGCTAAATATTAAACTTTAGGTCAACAGTCTTCGCTCGCCAGGAATGAGGGGAATGTGTGTATGCTAGGAACAGCCGCACACTTGCATACAGCGTTGTGCTTACATGCTCAGTTTTCAGGAAGATATTTCACAAGTCTGTAGCCTGTTAGTGGTTAGTCGAATCCAACCTGTTACCATCAAGGATACTTTACAGTTGCACTGTGGTAAATATAGCGTTGTGCGTGTCTCTCTATTTGGATATGGATTGGTTGTATTCATAGTTTATTATGTCATTGTGTTTCATGAACATGTGAGCTTTAGGTTTTTGTTTTGGTATGCAGGAACTCTGAGGTAGAAATCTCACATTACTTGTTTACACTCACACCCACAGAAGTGGGGGGGAAAGCAGGGCTTTCCAATTTCACATCTCAAATAAATTGGGTTTTCAACTTTAATGTAATTTAATGTTATGTTTTTATTTAAATATTTCAAAAACATTCTGTTGTACATGTACTGTATGGATGGAGTGACATCACTGGCTCAGAAACTGTGGGAATGAAAAGTCCCAGTATCTGAAAATGAATCATCAAAATATAAATAAATTGTCCCAGTATCACCCCAGAGAGGTGTGTGTTTGTGCATGCGCGTGTGACCAGTGACCCGTGACCCTCGCACACACTCTGGGGAGAGGCCAACTCAGCAACTTCATCCGCACTGTTGCACTCCATGGTGGGAGGGGGACGAGAGTACAGAAAAGCGAAAGATGATAAAGAACAAGAGAGAAATGGCCCTCTGCTATAGAGCAAGTACTTAAAGTTCAGATCTGCTTAGTTTATTGTTGAAGTTTACAAGCACAGTCCTCCAACCGCTGGCCCGGCTCATTTATTCAGCTATTCTCTTTACGAGCCCACGAACTTTTGAGTGTTTAAGTGAGAGATGTTTATCCGAGATGTGAATCCTGAAGTGTTGAGTGAATCTGTCATGAATTTAAAGTTCACTCTAAACTTATGACTGCTTCTCCGCGTCAGTGACAGTATCCTTTACTTTGTCAGTGCTTCGTGTATGTGGTGTGTCAGGGATTCTCTGGACCTCTGTTCAGTGTTATTTCAAACCAGATTGCTCTTAAAGATCCCATGAAATCACTTGAAAAGTGCAGTTTTCTTTTTTACTGTGCTGACATATTTTTCCTGAACCAGACGGGACAAATTAACTGCTCTTCCTTTTTTAAGCTGTAAAAAGTCACAGCTGTGAGACGTGAGCCATGATTTGCTACTTCCTAGTTAGTGACAGGTGTTATTAGGGGGGAGGGGCATTCTTATTCTAAATAGCATATGATTGGAAAGAAATCAGTGCAGGATGAGTCATCAATGTGTCTCCCAGGAGAGATAAAGTGTTGAATGATCATAATTGAAATCACTGATCTCAGTTGTCGTGGTGCAACACCTGGAGGCGGTCTACACTAGATGCGACAAAGCGACCGTTGCAAATCTGTCTGTTCTTCGTATCAGAAGTAGTGCAACCGCTTTGAGTGCTTTAAAAATAGAACGTGGCCTCAGTTTACTCTTACATCTAGTGTAGACAGTCTCACTGATTGTAAGGGGTTCTTATTGTGTTTTGTCAAATCACATGTCATTCGCATCCAGGATAGACATGGTGTAAGTGACCACCTAGCAACCAGTCACAACACCCCACCAACTTGGTGGCAAATTTTGCACAAGCAAGCACTGCTCAAAGTGCAGACTACTTTTTAATTATTTTTTTTTATTATTAGTATCTACAAAATTGGTTCTCAACATTTTTGACTCCCTTCAACCCCACTGAAAGACCAAAATTTGAAAGCGTGGCATAACTTGAAAAGTGTGTGTGTGTGTGTGTGTATATGTGTATATTATATATTTGTCTTACTTTAAGTAATTTTGAGGCCCATTCGGTAGTTTGCTGAGGCCCACAAGTGGATCCTGGCCTCTTGGGACCTGTACCATGATGGTAGTTGAACAAACTCAGGTTTGCAGGATTAGTTTCGAGTTGACAAACCCAAACTCAAACCAATCCAACCAGGCTTTGTTGGTACCATGATGCTGATCATCAACTTTCTCTGTCAACTCAGGCTTTGATCCTCTTGACTCGAGTATAGGAGTTTAAGTGTGACATCAGTAGCGAACAGCCAATCATATGCTGAGAAAGAGTGAAACTCATTCAAAACTCATTGAAATTAATTTCTTTTGAGAGAAGCAGCACAAATCAATTAATAAATAAAAATATGAAAATACTAAGAATTTAAACAAATTTACACAGCAAGAAGAAAATAGCTGTCTATGAAAGAGGACAACTAAAAGAAAAAGTTACTGTATATCAGTGCAAGTAAAAGTTGTGAAGTTAGTTTATACAGTTGATAGTTATAGAGAGAATTGAACTTTTTAAGCTCTCATGTAGTCATTTTATAGCTTCATCTATTGGTTCTAAAGCATATTTATATTACCTTTTTATATATTTATTTATTTAAAATCTGCGTAATGTGTGATCGATTAAGGGTATAATAATTGCATAAATAATTTCTAAATCATACAAATGTATTCTTCTAAATAAACATTACTTAAAGCCAGATGATTTTGTCTTTAAAAATCATTTGCTATGTAGTGGAGTAGAAACAGGTAAAGTGACTTTATCGCATCAGACATGTGTCACTTTGCTCACAGCTGATTGGTCCAAGTTCGTTTTACAACCTCTTACCTGGAACATAACTTGCCCCGGACCAGGTTAGCTGTGGAGCGTAAGTGACTATGGCGATGAACACTGCTAAAAGCCGAACCACTTTCATGGTGCCCAAAACCCAAGGTTGGCGCAAACTAAACTGAAACATACCTGGCTAGCCTAAACCGGCTTCATGGTACAGGCCCCTGGTTGAGAATATTTGTAACACATCATCTCCTGCATTTCTCTTTTTCACTATCTTACAGGAATATGAAATCCTGGACATCTGTCATATCAGGGATACCAGGACGGGGAGATATTCCAAGATGCCAAAGGTACATTTTTAGTTGTGCCTGTGTTGGAAAAAGTGCATTTGAACCTTTCCAAACATAACCTTCATATTGTCAGGAGTGTGTGTGCGTGGTAAACTTTGCCTGTGCTTTTAGGACCCACGTATACGTGAAATGTTGGGTTTGGGCAGAGGAGAAGGGAACTCCGACTCAAAGCTGCTAACTGTTGTCTACGGCAACGACCTGGTCAACATCTCCTTCCTTAACTTCCAAGCTGTGATGGATGGCTATTGCAAGGTAACCACGGCGACCAGACCCTGTCACCTAGAAACCATGTCCATGCTATCACTCCCTCTCGCTCTGTCCTGCTTTTTCAACCTTTTTGGAAGTGTGCGCTCTGAATGAATTATATCAGATGACTTTCATTTTATATATATATTATTTTCCTCTCTCTTTAAAACATTTGGCACACATGACCTTTTTATTTATTCATAAGATTATCATATTTACATTAAAGCATGAGTTCATTTAAACATGTTTTGTATTATGATTGGGTTTCCAGGTGTGGACTGACGAACTGTTTAAACTTGCCACAAACACACTCTCCCAGAATGCTTCCCGCAACACCTTCTTAATGAAAGCGTGAGTACTCTTCTTGTGTGTGTGTGGTCCTGGTAAATATAAATGTAGTACAGTTTGTACAGTATAAAAACCATTACATCTATGGAAAGTCCTTATAAAACATTATTTTTTTATTGTGAGGCCAAGTGACCTTACAAAAAGTCTCAGTTGACTTCATTTCACCGCAGACAAAAAACGGAAAAAAACGAAGACCTAAAACGGAGAGGTTTAGAAACGTTGCTGCTCTATTTTGCGTTTTGAATCTCTGGAGAGCGTTTTAGTGTAGACGAGACAAAACGGAAGACTTTAGAAATTATGACGCAGAGGCGATTGAGTGTCATCAGTCATGACGTATCCTTCTCTGATTCGTCAGCCACTGTTTACACCGGCACGCACATGCCCAGTGTTAATGAATGGTCACGTGATCAGCGTTTTCAGTCGTTTTAATGTGGACGAGGATCAATGCTAATACGCAGATAAAACGCTGGTGTGGACGGAGATCATATTCGTTTTAATTCTCCATTTTTAAACGAAAACACAGTAGTGTGGACGGGTAAAAGTGACTAACAGTTTCAGCTTTATTTTTCAGAATTACGACTTATTTCTCAAAATGGCCACTTGTGGCTTCTTTCTTCTCACATTTGCACTTTATTATGTGATGCATAAGTCACATTGTGACATAATATATCTCCTCTAATTCTCTGAACCCAAGCTCGACTGTACCCTACAAAAGTTCAAGCTAGTTTTTCACATAACTTTGGGTTTGCCTCAGAGTTGGTTTTGTAATTGATGGTCGCGTAACGTTAGTTCAGCCAAAGATGACATTTTAAAGCTCCAGTCCCCAATCATGGAAGAATGAAGGTCATACATATGTGTAAATGACAAAATGTAAAATTTGACAGTCCCAAATCCATTCAGCAGGATTTGGGTTCAGCTTTATACCCTCCAAAATGAAATACCACAGACCTTGTTGTCATAGTCTTTGCCTCTGTTGGATGCAATGCTGATGTCAGGTGTTTTTTGTAAGAATATGTAGTTGCTGATAGGTTTAAAGTACAATACATTAAGTGCAAATAATCAGTGTCATCTGTTTCTCACTGTCATTTTTCATAGTTACACAAAGCTGAAGCTGCAGGTAAATCAGGATGGGAAAATCCCAGTGAAGAAGTGAGTAAACACAAGCTGTCTTACTCAAACACGGTTATGTTTCCAGTTCTTCAGGGCTTCGTTGTTAATGTACCACTTCTTCTTTCATCATTCCTTTCACTTCTTCTCTTTTTTTCTCTTTCACTTCTCTCAGCATCATGAAAATGTTCTCGGATAAGAAACGTGTGGAGAATGCGCTGGAGCACTGCGGTCTGGTCAATAGCAGAGTAATCAGTCGAGCACAGGTTGTTACACATCGAACCATTCAGTTTTGTCTGCTGAGCTTTCATAAAAAGTGTTTGTCCATTTCTCTCTCATTCTCTTTTGTTGTTTCTATATAAACGCACTGTTTTTAAATAACCTACATTCGTTTCGATTCAGAAGATCCCTGTAGTCTAATTTCTTGTAGCGTCTCCCTCTGTTGTCACACGTTCATTTGTTTTTCTTCTTCGTGGTGATCTGTGATCAATCCTTTTATGGTTCAGTTTGGACACAGAGGAGCTGGTCTTAGATCAGCACATGTCCAAATTTCAATCTGTTCGCTGTCTTACACTGCCCTCTGCTGGTTACATTTCAGAAAAAATTGAGATTTAAAGGCATAGTTCACCCAAAAATTAAAATGTTGTCATCAATTACTCACCCGTTCCAAACATGCAAGACTTTCGTTCATCTTCGGAACAAAAAAATCTGACACAATCATGGGATACTATCACTTTATAGACCATTTTGCGAGATGTAACTGGTCCAGAAGCACTTCCTGTTTCCATTTTTTAACACTACTTAAACGTTGGGATAAAATACAACCAACAGAACATAATACAACTGAATCAAAAAGTTAATCAAACCTCTACAAACATTTGAAATCAAGAAACCATTTACAAACTGACACAGGAAGTGTTTCTGGACAAGTGTTGTTTACGTCTTGCAATATGGTCTATAAGAGGAACAGGCTTATTCAATTTTTTTAATACAATCTGTTGATCATATAAATCAATCGTGTCTCTTCAGAAAATTTAGACTAAACCGCTCGATTCATATGGATTAGTTTCACGATCTCTTTCTGAAAATTTTCAAGCGTCAAAGTGGTAATTCCATAGCTGCCACTGGAGGGACAGAAAGCTCTCAGATTTCATCAAACATCTTCATTTGTGTTTCGAAGATAAACAGAAGTCTTACAGTCTTCTTTTCTAAAGTCACAAGTCTTTTTTTCTAGTCATTTGTTCTAGTGAACAACTCCAAAAACATAGCACAACTCTATATATAGTGCAGAACAAAATGTTTGCTTGCAAGACAAAGCGAATGAAGTGGATTAGATTACAGCTCTAGCCATATTGATCTGCGCTGCGCTGTCAGGTGCTGTCCTCTGGTTAATGTGGACATGGGTCAGTGCTGTTGAACCCATTTTGCATCTCGGTTTTCAGATGCAAAATGGGTTCCATGGTAATGTCCCCCTTTAAATGCATTTCAGGCCCAAATGTTCTCCATTTTTCCTCACATCTTTTATTTGTGACACTAAAGATGGAAACTATGGAGACTTTGAAAATTCATTCATTCATTCATTTTTTTTTTTTTTTGTGCATTTATGTTTGGATGCATTTATTTATTTCTTTTCTCTCAGGGGGATCATGGTATAAAGCTAGAGGACTTTACCTGGGAAATGTTCCAGAACTTCCTCAGCAAACTATGTCCCAGACCAGAGGTGGAGCGTGTCTTTGTGGAGCTGTGAGTGAGCAGAGTCCAACTGCAATGACACAGATACAGTGATCCCAAAAAAGTATTTGGACACTAGGACACATTTAAAAATGAATGAATGGCATTCCATTACATAATATATCAACCAAGTGGCATTTATATCAAAGAAAGTTTTTATATCATAAAATATAGAAATGCACTTCTAAATATTTGTATTAAAAAGTAACTAATCAAAATTAATATTTATTCATTATTAAGTCTGTCCAAATACTTTTTAGTGGCATTTTATGTCTTAACTATGTAAAGATCCTTTGAACAATGTGTTATTCTGTACTCTGTGTCTGTGTGTGTAGTGGCTCTAGAGGGAAGCCCTTCTTGTCTCTGGATCAGTTGATGGACTATATAAATCGGAGACAGAGAGATTCTCGACTAAATGAGGTTCTTTACCCACCGCTCAAGCGAGAACAGGTCCGCCAACTCATGGAGAAATATGAAACCAACGTCAGCCAGCTGGAAAGAGGTACGAAGCACACACTCACACACATTTAGACATTGTGACGATGAAACTGATGGTGGTTTGTTTTACGTGTCCATGTGTGAGCAGACCAGATCTCCCTAATGGCCTTCGCAAAGTATCTTGGTGGTGAAGAGAACTCTGTGGTTCCTTATGAGAGGTTGGACATCATCGATGATATGAACCAACCCCTTTCCCACTATTTCATCAACTCTTCACACAACACGTACCTCACAGGTATACACACACACACACACACACACACACACACACACTCTAAAACACGCAAATATGGTCATAAACGCACACTAACACCCATCTATGCTCTCTCGCTTTAGTGGGGCAGTTGACGGGCCTGTCGTCAGTAGAGATGTACCGGCAGGTGTTGCTGACAGGGTGTCGCTGTATAGAGCTAGACTGCTGGAAGGGCCGCCCACCTGACGAAGAGCCAATCATCACGCACGGTTTCACAATGACAACTGAGATTCCATTCAAGGTGTGTTTGTGGTCCCATTTTCCACTTTACCTCTCATGATGCAGTCAAATTTACCGGTTTTCATTAAATTTTCATGGCTTTCCGTTTACATTGGGAGTTTATGTGGCAGCCAGATACATTGTATGTGTCTTTCCTAAGGGCTGTGAATCTAGAAAGATATAAGCTTAAAGGGAAACTCCACTTTTTTTTGGAAATAGGCTCATTTTAAAACTCCCCCAGAGTTAAACAGTTGGGTTTTACCATTTTCTAATCCATTCAGCCAATTTTCTGATATTTAGAAGAATATTAGTAACCAGACAGTTTCTGGTCTCATTACTATGGAAGTCAATGAGACCAGAAACTGTCTGGTTACTGAAATGTTTCTAAAAATCAGAAAATCGTCTGAATGGATTCGAAAATGGTAAAACCCAACTGTTTAACTCTGGGGCAGTGGTAAAATGAGCCTATTTCCAAAAAAAGTGGAGTATCCCTTTAAATTATTCTAATATTATTTAATGCATCATCGGACTACAGCATCAGTTTATAGCCATCTGTGTTGTTTGTGCTTTAACTGGATGGATGCTGTTAGATTTTTGGTGTATTTGGCCAAGCAGTGGTTTCAGTGGCTAGCCAATGTATTTGATTTCTCCAATACATAAAATAAGTAAGCTTGACTATTTCTTGTGGGGAGAAGAATTTATTGAAGGTTTGTATTGTGGCAGTCCTTCAGCAGCGATGTTGGCATGTCACCCTTCAATAATCTTAACCCAAAGTTCTGTCTGTGAGACAGAAATTTATACATGAAGACAAAGCCTATGGGCTACAAAAAATAGAAACCTGTTAGGACCTCCCACAGGAGATCGATCAAACTTGCTAATCCACTCTGAGCAATGCTGATTCTTTGTCATTCACACCTATCAGTTTTTGTGGGCCATACATCTGAATAAGCCATTTGGCACACGCATTTTTAGACACGGACATAGTGGATTACATCTGATACACTACTGAAAATACTAAATCTATCAATGCCAGTCAGAAGCCGCACAACACAAGCACATCGCCATCATTTTTTTTAAACTTCTGGATAATAGTTAATGTAATTAAATTAAAGTAAATGTAATAGATAATGTAATTTGTGAGTCTAACTCCATTCGTGAGATTGCCACATTTGATCAAAATGTTTGAATGCAGTGCATTATGTTCTCTTCGTCCCTTTGATCACAGTACGTTTGGTCAATAGTGTGTATTGCACATATTTAAATTGTTTATTGTTTATAAATCGTAACGTGTGTGACAAGGTATATGTGTATCAGGTCTGTCTCGTCAGCGCAAATGTATAATGTGTTACATGTATAAATTGAATTATGAAAAACAATGGATTGTAGATGCTTCTTCGCGTTATAAGCCTAGTGCACACTATTTATCAGTGGCTTTCAAAAAAGTGGTGGGGACAATTCAACTTTGGCAAAAAGTAGTGTGGACATGTCCCACCCGCAAAATACACCTATGGTATGGACATACATTGGCACACTGTTGACCTTTTTACCTGCAAAATTTAACTCATGCGCAATCGCACACACACTGAACTGCAATGTGTAATGTTTTTAGGAGGTGATTGAAGCTATTGCTGAAAGTGCATTCAAGACGTCCCAATATCCTCTGATCCTGTCCTTTGAGAATCATGTGGACTCGTAAGTATAAGGCATGAGTGTGTGGATAATGGTGATACTGCTTGTCTTTTTTCCTATTTATGTTTTATCTTGATTATTATCTGGTCTTTTTAGGGCAAAGCAACAGGCTAAAATGGCAGAATACTGTCGCTCTATGTTCGGGGACGCGCTACTCATTGATCCACTAGACAAATATCCGGTGAGTTCTTCAACGTAAAAAGAGCAGTTTTCAGATGTCAACTGTCAAATATGATGCATTATTTTGTCTATTTTCTTAATAAACAAAAAATCCAAATCTAAAAAGACGGAGCAGGCACATCCCATCCATCCATCCATCCTCCCTAAAACTTTTAAAATTAAAGATTTTAAAATCCTTTAAAAAAAATTCAGGCCAGACCTTTAAAAGACAACATTTCTATGATAAAAGGATGTTAAGTATGCAGTCATTTGTTCATAATCACAGACTAAACCTTGACAGGGTGATCAGGACCCCAGTGCAAAGAGAAAGGCTATTGTATCATCCTGAAAGCATTTGTTTCCCACTGATTACACAGGTACTTAATGGATAAAAGAATAGGTGTATGTTAAATGTTAATTTGACCTTAAATCATTGTATTGTTGTTAGTAGAGCAAGAGCATGGCCCGCTGTACAGTATAGGAAATCGCATGGCTGTGTTTGGTCATTACAAAAATATTTGACCACAGAAGAATGCAGTGATTGCCTGTGTTTAATAGTACTAAGAATAGTAAACAATCATATATTTAGTTTGAGACTAGATATGTAGATTTTACAATCATGATTGTTTTTACAGCTGGAACCTGGTCAACCACTGCCAAGCCCCCAGGACCTGATGGGGAAAATCTTGATCAAGAACAAGAAGAAACACCACCACAGGGCATCAAACGGTGGGAGCATTAGACGCAAGGACGGAACAGACGAACAGTCCTCGCCTTTGAATGGTGCGTAAATGCACACACACTCGAACATACACACACACCAAAACATAACCTGATCTGATCTAGATAGGGTTTTCCAGACACTGGGACCATTCACACAGAACTGTTTTTTTTTTTTTTTTGCATTTGAAAAAGTTAGAGATGCATTTTTTTTTTATAAGTTGAATTTTAACTTGTGTTTTAAAGGGGAAATGAAGCAGTGAATAACGTTTACATGATTTACAAGATGGATTTCCAATATAATCAACAATTATATAAGAAACATTACAAATGTAAACATTTAGAAGAAAAAAAAGAAAAAAACGTTGTATCTTTCGCCGCCAGGGCGCCGCCATTGTGCAGGTGACGTCACGGGGTTGGTTGGCTCAAGTTTAACAGGCTCTGGGCATTGAAAATAGCGACATCAAACTGTGTTTACACCAGTGTTTTGACCGCGAACGACTAATGTTAGGTACAGTCATTAGACAAAAAGATGACGTCTAATGTTATATGTTGACAAACTGCACATAGAAACATTGTTCGCGATGTCTGTCGTCATATTTCCGTCTCGTCAACAACATGTAAGTTAGCATGTATTTGTTAAAGGGGAAATGAAACGTCCATATTTTCGCACTGGTTGTGCTACAGCCTACATACTAGGAAAAAGTGTCTCCGCCCTGACATCCTTCAGGAAAAGCATCGCCGCTTCCACACGTCTAACTCCCGGCACACTGGCACAGCATGGTAAACGTGCGCGCCGGTGATGCAGAATTGACCACGCAATACATGCTCAAGATGAACCTCTTGACAACAGATGGACTCTGACACGGAGGGCATCGCAGTACAACAGCCACACTGACACATGGTAAGTTAGCGTTGCAAACCCGCTCTTCGCCCCAAACCACCACCGGCTGTTCTACATAGCAATGTAATTTACATGGTGTTGACGAGACGGGAATATGACGGCAGACATCGCGAACAATGTTTCTATGTGCAGTTTGTCAACATATAACATTAGACGTCGTCTTTTTGTCTAATGACTGTACCTAACATTAGTCGTTCGCGGTCAAAACACTGGTGTAAACACAGTTTGATGTCGCGATTTTCAATGCCCAGAGCCTGTTAAACTTGAGCCAACCAACCCCGTGACGTCAACTGCACAATGGCGGCGCCCTGGCGGCGAAAGATGCAAAGTTTTTTTTCTTTTTTTCCTTCTAAATGTTTACATATGTAATGTTTCTTATATAATTGTTGATTATATTGGAAATCCATCTTGTAAATCATGTAAACTTGATTCACTGCTTCTTTTCCCCTTTAAGAGTGCATGAGATGCAGCTAAAGACAGGAGACGGAAACACAGTGGCATAGCGTCTGGGTATGCATGTGCATATGGGCCCGTAATTATAAAGCTATGACGTCATTAGTTTCATTACTGTACGGCTTGATTGAATCACGTGCGCACGCATACAGAGATCGTGCAGCGCACACACATAAACATTCAGGAGCACAGAAAACTGTTGTCAACGCTGCCCACCACTTTGATTGATAAAATCAATTCACTACTGAAACGCTACATTATTGATTGATTGATTGATTGATTGATTCCTTTATTGTCATTGTACTGCATTATGTTTAGTGTTATTAGAGTTATAGAGATAACGTCGCTGTTTTTTTTTTTTAATAATTCAATACATAGCTTCACTATTAATAGACATACCCTGCTTAGACAAAGGTAATTCACAAACGCACAATCTCTGTCTCTCTAATTCATTTAAATAAATCAAATCTTACTAAACTACTTCATCACTATGTCTGATTTAAGCGGGCAGAATGCTAGATCTAACGACCCGTGGACGTTTATACCACTAACAAGGCTCAAAATAGCCCCACACTAACACAGTAACATAATGAGGGTCCCTACATGCAAAACGAAGCATTGAGAACTGTGTACAGACCGTTTAATAAGAAGATATTTCATAAAGACAGTCCACTTCGTATATACAGACAGGAGCCATCTTGGAAAACAGTCAAACCACAAACATCATGCTGAGTGATCTGAACTGTATGAAGTTCAGCGTTCAACTCTATGAACGGCGTTCAAGGATCGACTTATCGAGACTATTTTCTAAGATGGCTCCTGTTTGTATATACGAAGTGAACGGTCTTTATAAAGTATCTTCTTATTAAACGGTCTGTACACTTATAAAGTTCCCAATGCTTCGTTTTGCATGTATGGAGCCTCATTATGTTACTGTGTTAGTGTGGGGCTATTTTGAGCCTTGTTAGTGGTATAAACCAGCGATTTCTTTTTACTTAGTAAATGCCCCCAGTACTAGTATTTAACGCTAAACAGTTTTTAGAGATAAAACTCTTTACTCTTTACACTCTTTACATCATGAAAACAAATCTCAGAGAACAATTGACAAGGTACCGATGTGCCAGAGTTCTCCTTTAAGTTAGTTCTGGTTGTGAAAAGTATACCAGAGGTGTAAATCTCAAGGTTGCATTTTTATGCAATGCTTATTGGTTTATTACATTTATTTAGTAACTTAATAGAGAATTTTTGACTATTACTAACACTACTCTTGTGTTGGATCTGGATGGCCCATAACTTTACATAGCTTATCTATTAGGCTACTCGGATGAAAACGATAAGGTGTAAATGTCCTTTGCGATGCGTTTTGTATGGTATTTTCCTGATATGCTGCATTAGCGCTTCTTCATTGCATTTTTGTTTGTGGGATGTTTTTTTTTTGTGCAAATGGGCCCAGCATTGACTTTCTACGCCACTGGTCCTGTGCATGTTTTCAAACTAGGGAAAAACATTGGAAAAGTAGCAGAGTGAAACAGAAAAACATGTTCTGTTTGAGTGACCCGTTAAGAGTGTATGCCAGTGTTTCCTGCATCAGCACATCGTTGTGTTGTCCTACTAGTTGTTCCTGCAAGCACAGTGCTACCTGTGATGTCCAATTTGTGAATGAATGATGCATATGAGCCAACTCTTTTAATAAATCAAACCCATGACTTATTAATAGGAGTAAGCCTGACAACAAGCTCAGTCAAAATAAATAAGAACTCATTTTGAGTGTATTTTCACACTAGTATTACACAGTCTTCAACAACCATTTCTCATCTGATCTTCTATGAGAAATTATAACATTTATATCAGTGTGAGATCATTTATAATTCATGACTTATTCTCATGGGACATTTTATTGCACATCTCTTTCATATCTGCTTGATTAGAGAGTTAGCTCATGAACGGTCTGTCATCATTGACTCACCCTCTTGTCATTCCAAACTTGAATTGCTTTGTTTCTTAGCTCTAAATTATGACATTTACAACAAATATTTGGACTCTTTCTTTATCTACTTTTGCAACTCAACTGTATGAGGGGCTCTTCTTGTTGAACCATTCTGGCTCATTCATGAACAATTCAATATACACATGATCCATTTTTCATTTACCGCTTTCATTTCACTTTCAAACCCATTCATCATGAGATTTGTGTTTAGATTGTCCGTTGTCTGATGGGGAGGTGGGCCAGAACATGTCCAATGGGGGTGAGAAGCTTGCAGAGAGGATGGCCAAAGACCTTGATATCCGCAAGTCTATTGGTGGGTTTGTGCCTAGTTGACTGAGGTTTCAACCAATCAGGATGAAGACCGAAGTCACTTAGGCACCAGTCTGGAAGTTCATGGTCAATGCATTTGTAGTGTATATTCAATTTTCTGTGTTTGTGTGTGTGTGTATTTTTTTTTTTTAATATTACCCTGTAGATGGAGAGAGCGATGAAGAGGAGGAAGAGGAACCCATTCCAGATCCAAAGAAACACAACAACACTGATGAGGTAACTTGATTACTGTCCTGTTCACGTTTATGCTCCCCGTCTCTTTCTATGCACATTTTTGACATGTCTCTCTCTTTCAGGGTACTGCGTACAGTGAGGTGAACGCTACAGAGGAGATGTCCACATTGGTCAACTACATAGAACCAGTCAAATTCAAATCCTTTGAGGCGGCCTGCAGTGAGTACTGATACTTTTCAAATCACGGCTGTTACTATTCTGCGTATTCTAGCAGGAACAGCAAAACTGTGTTGACCAATCAGAAGCCAGGACAGAATCTTCCATTTTTAAACGGTCCCACTCTCTTTCTCTGTTTTTAGAGAGGAATAAGTATTTTGAGATGTCATCTTTTGTGGAGACCAAAGGCATGGATACTATGAAGAATTATCCCGGCGAGTTTGTTGAGTATCCTTCACCAGCCTAGGATATTGATTAGATATTGATTGTTATTTACTCTAACACCTTTTCTAAACTTGTCTACTTACTCTTTTTATTTGTGTTTGTAGTCCTGATCTGAACTCTCATTCAAAGTGTGATTTGTTGTGGGAAATATAAGCCATTATATACACTCACCTAAAAGATTATTAGGAACACCATACTAATAATGTGTTTGACCCCCCTTTCGCCTTCAGAACTGCTTTAATTCTACGTGGCATTGATTCAATAAGGTGCTGAAAGCATTCTTTAGAAATATTGCCCCATGTTGATTGGATAGCATCTTGCAGTTGATGGAGATTTGTGGGATGCACATCCAGGGTACGAAGCTCCCGTTCCACCACATCCCAAAGATGCTCTATTGGGTTGAGATCTGGTGACTGTGGGGGCCATTTTAGTACAGTGAACTCATTGTCATGTTCAAGAAACCAGTTTGAAATGATTCAAGCTTTGTGACATGGTGCATTATCCTGCTGGAAGTAGCCATCAGAGGATGGGTACATGGTGGCCATAAAGGGATTGACATGGTTAGAAACAATGCTCAGGTAGGCTGTGGCATTTAAACAATGCCCAATTGGCACTAAAGTGTGCCAAGAAAACATCTCCCACATCATTACACCACCACCACCAGCCTGCACAGTGGTAACAAGGCATGATGGATCCATTTTCTCATTCTGGTTACGCCAAATTCTGACTCTACCATCTGAATAGCCGCGTTTCCACCACAGGAACTTTCCCCAGGAACTAGGAACTTTGGGGTGGTACTCTGTGTGTTTACACCGCAGGAATCAGGGTCTAAATGAAGTTCCGGGTAAAAATCTCCCCCCCAGAAAGTCCCTGCTGGCGAGGTGGTACTTTTTAAGAGTTTAGGAACTTTCGGGGTGGGAGTTGTGTGCTGAACATGCTGACTGGTTCTCACCACGCTATTCTTTCTGCCCGATGGCGCGCGATCGCCCCATCCATCTCCCGGTCAATGTCCGCTGATAACAAACGTCTACTTTTAATTTCTAGCATTACGAGCTTTCTGAATACGCTTTGGGTGCTCGTCTCTTTTCTGCCGTTTTGTTAATTACCTCGTTAGTAAACCAATCGCACACAAAAGCAGCACAGCTTGAATCTCCTCCATACAAAACTCAAAACAAACGCGCAGGCTAGGAAGAGCAGTCGCACGCAGTTCAACGTCACTACATAATCTTCCCGCCCAGGACCGGTACTTTAGTACGCGTTGTAAACGCAGTAAGCAAGTGGTCTGGGGGGAAAAATGTTCCTGTGAAAAAAGTTCCTGGGACAAATAGTTCCTGGTAATTGCGGTGGAAACGCGGCTGATGTCTCGACAGAAATCGAGACTCATCAGACCTGGCAACATTTTTCCAGTCTTCAAATGTCCAATTTTGGTGAACTCTTGCAAATTCTAGCCTCTTTTGCCTATTTGTAGTGAAGATGAGTGGTACCCGGTGGGATCTTCTGCTGTTGTAGCCCATCCACCTCAATGTTGTGCGTGTTGTGGCTTCACAAATGCTTTGCTGCATACCCTGGTTGTAACGAGTGGTTATTTCAGTCTGATCTTTGGCATCAACAAGGCATTTTCGCCCACAGGACTGCCGCATACTGGATGTTTTTCCCTTTTCACACCATTCTTTGTTCATTCATTCTTTTTCATGCACAACCATTTCTAAACCCTAGAAATGGTTGTGCGTGAAAATCCCAGTAACTGAGCAGATTGTGAAATACTCAGACCGCCCCGTCTGGCACCAATAACCATGCCACGCTCAAAATTGCTTAAATCACCTTTCTTTTCCCAAACTGACATTCAGTTTGGAGTTCAGGAGATTGTCTTGACCAGGACCACAACTCCAAATGCAATGAATCAACTGCCATGTGATTGGTTGATTTTAGATAATTGCATTAATGGGAAATTAAACAGGTGTTCCTAATAATCCTTTAGGTGAGTGTAAGTGTGCACACATTTCCACCAGAAATAGCAGACCATCCAGATACCATTGGCATAATCATTTCAACATATTATGGTTAAGGACACATTAATTCTAAGCAAATCAAGACTAGTGGGTAGAGGTTACAGTTACGTATGTTCGATGTGTCATGTTTGCGCTGCCATATTCAAGTAATGTTGTTCTTCCTGAGCAAAATTTTTTTTATTTAGATACAATAAAAAGCAGTTAAGTCGCATCTACCCCAAAGGGACCCGTGTGGATTCCAGTAACTATATGCCACAGCTCTTCTGGAACGTGGGCTGCCAGATGGTGGCGCTAAACTTCCAAACTCTCGGTCATTGCCTTCTTTTGTATCTGTTGTTCTACATTTACGTATATTTTTGATGCCTTTGTATATTAAAATAAGCGTGTATCTCTGTTTCTCAGACTTGCCAATGCAGCTGAACATGGGGGTGTTTGAATATAACGGCAACTGTGGGTATCTACTGAAGCCAGAGTTCATGAGGCGCACAGACAAACACTTTGATCCCTTTACTATGGACATTGTGGATGGCATTGTAGCCAACACAGTTAGAGTCAAGGTATTGTGTTCACATGTATCATTTTGTTTGATACAATATTAGTTTGATGTCAAGTTATCATTATAGTTTAGTAGTAGTTTTATGTAGCATGTACAATCAGATCACATCTCATCTTTCACTCACACACACAGATCATCTCAGGCCAGTTTCTGAGTGATAAGAAGGCCAGTGTTTACGTGGAGATAGACATGTTTGGACTTCCTGCAGACACTAAAAGAAAATATCGAACGAAAACTTCTAACAACAACTCTCTGGACCCAATCTGGGATGATGAAGCCTATGTGTTCAACAAGGTAAAAAATGAAAGGAATAGTTCATCCAATAATGTAAATTATGTCATGCACAAAACTCTGAAGCTGACTAATGCTGTACTTGTACTGTGATAATGATACACATTTTTATCAAACGAAATAAAGTATGTGTAGTATTTGTAGAGGAACAATAACACACGCAGAGACGGAGCCAAGTTGAGTGCTGTTTACTTCATCGTAGTACTTCCATACAGATCAGTTCCGGGCGCGCGAGAGCCCCCTCCCCTTTTCCCGTATTTCCTCTAATACTGATACTATCATTACCATACAGTATAAACCACTACACTCCTTCCCCCTAGATTTGAACCATAACCAAAAAATAACTGTACTGTTATCACTATTTCTTAACATAATATGCAGTGCTAAAATTTTACCACATATACAACCTCATTAACTTAACCGTAAAGACTCAGAACCTGAATACTATATTAATAACTCATCTCTACATGAACACTTAGAGATTCAATCTAGTTGGTGCTGTCCGCTGCCTTTCTGGATAGCGCCGCTCTTGTTGCACTTCCGAAGATGGACCAGCTGCAACATTTTCTGGCTCTGTGCTTTCTACTGAATCCCCACAGCATGCCGAGTACTCCAAGAAATCATCATCATCCCTTCTGCTTGGTGAATATGAAGCTTTAGATGCACGCAGATGATCCACATGCACTCTGACTTGACGATGATCAACTTGTACCTCATAGGTCAGAGATCCTCTTCGTTGCAGAATCGTTCCTGTAACCCATAGCTTCTTTGGATGTCTGAAATCCCGAACTAACACCCTCTCTCCCTGCTTAAATGTCCGGAGTGGCTTTGCTCGCTTGTCATGAGCCTTTTTCTGCTGTAGCTGATGCTTGAGCACTACTTCCGATATGTCCGGCTTCAATAATGACAGGCGAGTGCGCGGTAGTCTCTTTAGAAACATTTCTGCCGGGGTGCGCTCTGTGACGGTGTGAGGAGTGTTTCGGTATGTGAACAGGAACCGAGCAAGCCGTTGCTGGGGTGACACAGACTGAGCTTCCAGTCGAGTCCAGGCTTTCTTGAATGTCTGCACAGCTCGCTCCACTGCTCCATTGGATGCAGGGTGATAGGGTGGTGATAGAACATGACGGACTCCATTATTCTTGAGGAACTGTTCAAACTCTGCTGATGTAAATGGAGGACCATTATCTGACACCAACACCTTTGGCAGGCCATAGGATGAAAATAGGTTTCTGAGAAGATGTGCAGTCTTCTCCGCTGTTGTCTGCTGTGTAGGCAGAACTTCCAGCCACTTTGAATAGACATCCACTACAAGCAAGTAGTGCTGCTTATTGATCTCAGCGAAATCAACATGTATTCTCTCCCACGGTGATGTAGCCCATGACCACGGATGGAGGGGTGCTACTGCAGGCCTGTTCAGTGTGATCTCACAGGCAGCACACTGACCTACAAATTCCTCTATTTCTTGATCTAGTCCCGGCCACCACAGGAAACTCCGGGCTAATGCCTTCATTCGTGTTATTCCAGGATGTCCATCATGTACATCAGACAATAGTCTCCGTCTGAACTTTGGTGGTATGACTACCCTTGACCCCCAGAGAATACATCCCTGGTCTGTAGACAACTGATCCTTTCTTAGATAGAATGGTTTAAGATCTGGATTTGGCACAAACTTCGGCCAACCTGCCAATGTCAGATCAAGAACTTTGGAAAGGACCGGATCATGTCTTGTCTCTTCTGCAATGTCTTTTGCAGACACAGGCAGCTCATCAATGTGCGAGACACAGAGTACTCCGCCGTCATCTGTAGCGTCATCCGTGTCCTGATCACAGGGGAGACGTGACAATGCATCTGCATTTGCGTGGTCACTGGATCGTCTGTACTGAATGTCATAATCATACGCCAACAGAATTAAAGACCAGCGTTGCATGCGAAGTGCAGCGAGAGTTGGAACTGCACATTTTGGGCCTAGAATTGTCAAAAGTGGTTTGTGGTCCGTCAACAACTCAAACTTTCTACCATATAAGTACTTGTGGAACTTCTTGACCCCGAAAATGATGCTCAATGCTTCCCTCTCGATTTGCGCATAATTCTTCTCACTAGATGAGAGAGTCCTTGATGCAAAAGCAATTGGTTGCTCTTCACCGGATGGAAACACATGAGAAATTACTGCTCCGACACCATATGGACTGGCGTCACAAGCAAGCCTGAGAGGCTTCTCTGGATCATAGTGTGCAAGGCATTTGCTATTCAAGAGCCGTTGTTTACAGCCCTGAAATGCATCTTCACATTGTGGGGACCACTTCCATGGTGCTTCAGCTTGCAGTAGCTGGTGCAGTGGGTGCAGCAATGTGGACAGATTCTGCAAAAATTTTCCATAGTAATTAAGCAACCCCAAAAATGATCTTAGCTCAGTAACATTTTGCGGAGCTGGTGCGTTTACTATGGCCTCTACCTTGCTTGTGGTTGGATGCAGTCCCTGTGCATCTATCCTGTACCCTAGGTACTCCACTGAGTCTTGCAGGAATGCACATTTGGAAAGCTTAATTCTCACACCATACTTTTCCAGTCTTGCCATCACTTGATCCAAAATTTCCAGGTGTTCTTCCTTTGTAGGTGCTGACACCAGAATGTCATCCATAAAGCACACAACCTTCTCCATCCCATTCAGTATTTGATCCATTGTGTGTTGAAACACTGCTGGAGCTGTGGAAACTCCATAGGCAAGGCGATGGAATCTGAAAAGGCCTTTGTGTGTGTTCACTGTAAGATACTGCTCTGACTCTGGATCTAATTGCAGTTGTTGATAAGCGAAAGACAGGTCTAGCTTACTGAAAACTTGCCCACCTGCCAAAGTAGCAAACAAATCCTCTGCATTTGGAAGTGGATATTCTTCTGGAAGTATGCATCGATTCACTGTCACTTTGTAATCCCCGCACAATCTCACTTCCTTGTCTTTTTTTGGTACCACGACAACAGGTGCCGCCCATTCACTCCTTTCCACCTGTGTTATGATGCCATTCTTCAGTAAGCGTTCCAGCTCTTTCTCCACTGATTCCCTCAACGCATAAGGTACTGGTCGTGGTTTGTGGAAGATGGGCTTGGCCTCACTTTGCACTCTAATCTTCGCTCTGAAGTCCTTGATCTTCCCATATCCGTCTTTGAAAAGATCCTTGTGCTTTTCAAGCATTTCTTTCAGGGTGAGCTGTTCATTTTTCTCACCGCCTTGAAGACTGAAGATCTTACCCCAGTTCAGCTTTATCTTCTGCATCCAATTTCTTCCCAGTAGTGGTGGTTTACTACCTTTCACCACCACAAGTGGCAGCTTCCACTCAAATCCCTCATACTTCACTGGCACTAGAATTTTCCCAAGCACAGGAATGGTTTCTCCTGTGTATGAAGACAGATGAATGGTTACTGGCTGCAGAGAACAGTCCTTCAGTTGGTCATGATAGAGAGACTCTGGAATCAAGGACACAGATGCGCCTGTATCAACTTGCATTTTCACTGGGTTCCCCGCTACTTCAACTTCTACAAAAATTCCCTCTTTTGTTCCTTGAGCGGTATACACCGTAAACAAGTCCAGACCATCATCTTTACAATCATCAGAGTCATCAGTTACTCCCGTTGCGTTCACCATTTGAGCTTTGTCCCTATGCTTTATTTTCTTACAGACTCTTTTTAGATGTCCGACTTTTCCACAACCGTGGCAGGTTTCGGTGCGATAGTAGCATTCAGTTGATTGATGATTGTCCTTTCCACATCGATAGCACTTCTGCTTTTTCTCTGCAGAGAAACGCTGTTTGCCTTTTCCATCATCCTGCCGGTTGTAAAATGCACTGTTACTCTTCTTGTGATGCCGCCGGTCACCAGAGGTGTTAAAGACTCTGTGAATTGCCCCTTTTGGTTTGTCAGCATGTTCTCTCAATTCCATAGTGTCTTTGTAAGCCAACTCAAGAGCAAGTGCAATATCGCAGGCCTTTTTGAATGTAAGATCTTTTTCAGATAATAGCCGCTTGTGATATCCCTCTCCTGAGAGCCCACAAACAAACTGATCTCTGAGGGCATCATTTAGAAATTGTCCAAACTCACAAGTGCTTGCTAAAGTCTTCAGTACAAGAATGTATTCAGCCACAGTTTCATCTTGCTTTTGCTGTCTTTTGTAGAATCTGAACCGTTCTGCAATCAAAATGGGCTTTGGCTTGAAATGCAGTGACAAGGCACTTGTGACATCCTCATATGACACATCTGAAACCTTCTGAGGTGCAATCAAATTTTTCAACAGTCCATATTCCGTAGGACCCAAGACACTCAGAAACACGTCTGTTTTCTTCTCAGCATCAATCTCATTTGCTGACAGCCATCTTTCAAATCGTTCTAGATATGAATCAAAATCTTCTTTCTTACTTTCAAATTCTGGCACTCTTCCTATCAATGCCATCACTTCCGGTGTTTTCTTTATTTAATTTCTTTACAATTTTGCCTCTTCCAGCACACTTCTTCCTATGGTTCCTTCTGTTAATCTCCGCTTTTTATTTATAACTGGCTTTGTCTTGCAAGACACATTTTTTTTTCAATAACATCCACTCACCACAGGAGGGCGCTCGTACGCTTTCATGCGCTGTTCCTTTTTCCTAGCCGTTTGGGTAGCTAGCAGTCTCGGTTTCCTCCGAACCCGAAAACAGGCGGAATATTGCCTTTTTTTTACTGAGTTTCCCTTGTTAGATATCTTCAATATCCTTCCCGATGTGGATTCATTTACTTTTTATCCTCGTCGCCACTGTAGTATTTGTAGAGGAACAATAACACACGCAGAGACGGAGCCAAGTTGAGTGCTGTTTACTTCATCGTAGTACTTCCATACAGATCAGTTCCGGGCGCGCGAGAGCCCCCTCCCCTTTTCCCGTATTTCCTCTAATACTGATACTATCATTACCATACAGTATAAACCACTACAGTATGCTTTTAATCTCTCTCTAGGTGGTATTACCCACCCTGGCGTCTCTTCGATTAGCAGTGTTTGAGGAAAATGGGAAGTTTCTTGGTCATCGTATCTTGCCAGTATCGGCTTTGCGCCCAGGTTTGTGCAAAAACGGAAGTGGTTTAACAGACTTGCTGATCTGATACTGCACTGAAGATCTACTGGTTCATATATGCTACAGTATATGTGTTTGTGTGTGTGTGTCTTTAGGATATCACTACATCAGTCTGAAGAATGAACTGAACCAACCACTCATGCTGGCATCCCTGCTTGTGTACACTGAAGCTAGGGACTACATCCCCAATGAGCACCAAGGTAGGAGAGAGATCTATTGGACTATGAATGCCATGGATTTCAGAAAGACACACACACACACACACACACACACACACACACACACACACACACACACACACACACACACACACACTCACATATGAAGAGTTCAGATGCAAAAGCCTCTAAATGCCATTTGAAATTTTCTTCTTTAATGATGATTTTTATCAAACTTGTATATTTAAGTTCAGTAATTTCACTTAAATAACAATTAATAGGTAATTATCATTGCCGTTTAAGTGAAATTACTGAACTTAAATATACAAGTTTGATAAAAATCATCATTAAAGAAGAAAATTTCAAATGGCATTTAGAGGCTTTTGCATCTGAACTCTTCATATATATATATATACAGTGTTGTAGTCAAGACCACCTCACTCGAGTCCGAGTCGAGTCCGAGACCAGAGACGGTCGAGTCCGAGTCGAGACCGAGACCAGTGAGGGTTGATTACCTAATTTACTTTTATTTACTTAGAGAAATACTTTTTTTATTTTACTGAATTTACTTAGAGTTTAAAAAATATGATCAGTTTAGGGTAAAAAGGCCACATAGTAGGTGGTGTTAAAAGTAATTTTATAACAATTTGTCAGGCGCAGTTGCGCACTAGAAAATCACCAATCACTGGGCGTGACAATCAATTTGAGGAAATATTTTATTAACATACATTAATAATCATGAAAAATATTTTTATTGAACTGGAGTGGACTCGGGAATAATTCCGAGTCCTAAAAAAAAAAAATGTTCGAGTACGAGTCAATTCCGAGTCCAAATGGACACGAGTCCATGACAAGACCAAGACCATTAAAATATGGTCTCGAGACCGAGTCCGAGTCTCGAGTACTACAACACTGTATATATATATATATATATATATATATATATATATATTAATTGCTGATTAAAACAGCATTAAACCATTCCAGTGATCAAAAAAGAGTGACATCACTGCATTAGGTGGTGCAAAGCTAGTTGTTCAGTTCAATTCTCTGCTTAAAAGTGACTAGTGTATTTAGCTGTAATGTGTACACATATTTTTTATGCAAGTAGTCATTTACAGTAGCAGAAACAACTGTAGTTAAGTGTCTGATACAATGGTAATTTGAAGACTGGTATTTACACCAATGGTCTTTTGGTTACAAGCTCTGATATGCGTCTACCTTTGTAACAGAGACTTACTTGGATGTTTTTTTTCTCTGTGTTCCTTATTTTGTGTGTGTGAAGAATACGCAGAGGCTCTGACAAACCCAATCAAACATCTCTCTCTGCTGGCCCAGAGAGAAAAGCAGCTATTAGCACTTATGGAGGATCTCCCTGTGGTAAGTCATACTTGTTTTTTGTGTTTAAGGCAGCATCAGCTTCTTTAAAATATTAAAACACTGTAAATACGCTCATAATCTGTAAATCTGTAAATGTTTATTCTGACTAAACCCAACTGCGATACTTTTATTCTCATATTTTATTTTATTATTATTATTATTATTTTTTTTTATTATAATTTGTATTACTATGTTTCTTGTTGTATTTGTATATGTGTACACTGGAATCCTCAGCACCAAAACAAATTCTTTGTGTGTGCAAGGCAAGCACCCTTGGCAATAAAGCTTTTTCTGATTCTGATTCAGATAAGTTGCTATATAAATTACTTAAAGTACTTGTAGTTCCTGCAGTCAAATTGGAATCTCTGTAACCAACCAGTTATTTATTCTGATCTCTCTTCTCTCTCCTTTGACTCATTCCAAACTTTTTTAGGATTTTCTTTTTTCTTTAGAACAGGGTTCTGCAAACTATGGCACGCTTGCCAACATTGGCATGCAAAGGGGTAAACATTGGCACGTGATCGATAAAGAGTACATTTTGAGGTTGTCATTCCTCATAGTCACTCAGTCTGTTTTATTAAGTTAGGTACTATAAATACAATTTTAACCTTCGTTAGCAGCACGTAGATCCAACAAACCGTCTTCCCGTGTACCATAAGGTTTCCAAGTGCTACTATAGAACATACATTTTTAATGTCCTGACCACTTTTTTTATTATAAGGACAGTGGCTGTCAAACTCCAAAACGACCACAAAACAAATTCACCATGAAAGTATGATATGGCTAGTATCTGTACTACAAGTTGTGTGAAGAACAGACTGAAATTTAAGTCAGTGTTCAGTGAAACTCGTTGAGAAAAGTAGCAATGTCTTATTCATGACCAAATCATTCTTTCGACTCATATTTTCAATTAATCAGTTGATCAAGTTGCTTTTATGGTGCATTTTCAGCTTTTTAAAAGCTTGAAAGCCCCAGTTCCCATTTATTTAACTACTGTACATGAAAAAGAGTGATATATTCAGACTTTCTCCTTTTTTCTGAGGGTGAGGATAAATGATGGATTTTAAATTTTAACTATTACCATGATCTAACATCTTGCAGATATTTAATCAATTATGTGAATGGATAGTGTGTGTGTGGTCCTGGTAATCCCTATGTTATGGGGCCCAAATCTCCGCAATAGAATATTTATACCAGTTATTTTTTACCTTGTGGGGACATTTTTTTTAACTGAGGAAAACAGCCTATAAAATAAACTTTTTTACACATTACACTTTTTTTTTTTAATGTGGAAAGTTTTCTTTGATTGGTAGGTTCATGGTTAGGGGTTAGAATATACAGTTTGTACAGTATAATAATCATATCACTCTGGAAAATCCTCATAAAACATGAAAACCCAACATGTGTGTGTGCAGGAAGTCAAAAAAGAGATGCTGCGAAACCAGGATAAGACGGAGAAACTAGACGAAGGAGACTCTAACTCTGGCTGCGTACCTTCTGCTGACCCTTTCTGCCCTCTGCCATCATCTCCAACACTTCCTCCTGTAGTCAGTGAGGTCATGAACTCTCCTCCATCAGGTTCGGTCTTGCCTCTGAAACAATCTCTATTTGTCCTGCCATCACCCTCTCGCTCATTCTCTGTCTCTCTCTATCTGTCTGCATTTTGGCCATAATGTCATGTCATGTCAGTTTTGTATTGATGTCTACTCATGAATATGCATGTACTGTCCATTAAGTGACCTGTATGTTCGTGTATAATATGTTATAGGCCCAAAAGAAGATCTAGTCAACAATATTCTTAAAGGTAAGATCATACTCACCATCATTCGCTCTTCTTCATCAGTCCCTCGCCTCCTGCAGAGCGCTGAGAGAGTTTTCGGAAATATCATGGTCAAGCTGTGTGTTTGTGTTTTGCAGTTATCGAACCTCAGTCTATTGATGAGCTCAAACAGCAAAACTCCTACCAGAAGCTGAAGAAGAAACAGTCCAAGGAACTCAAGGAGTTGAGCAAGAAACATGTGAAAAAGGTCAAAAGCACTTAAATTATGTTTATGTGAGGAATCATTGTCACGTTCAACCATGGGTGTGTAATCATTTTTAACTAGATACAAGTTCATCAAGGTTCATTTTGATGTTGGGTTGAGAAAGCCTGGTGTTTAACAAGTTGCTAGCATTCAAAACATGTAGCCCTACACTTGTTTATCTCAAGAAATTTTTCATTTGTAAAACTGTTTCTTATAAACCTGGTTTCTTTTGCCGTTTTTAAGCGTCTTGCATTGAAACTCCCCAAGGCTCTGTTACTAAATCTGTTGTTAAATTGAAAGTCTTACTTTAGAACTCAGGCTGTTTCTAAGCAGTTGCAGTGTTGCAATGTTATAGAGAGAGAGCATGACTTAAGTCTGCCGCAGCTCTCAGTTGATGGCAAAGTTTACTTCATTTTTCAGTAGTGAGGCAAGAGCATCATTATTTAGGTTTTAGATGCTTTTATTGATGTTTTATTTAAGTAATGAGCTAGCTGGACAGTCACATGATAAAAAAAAAACACTTTAGAGAAAATCTAATTAGTCATTTCTAGTAGTTTTTATGGCTTTTTGAAGTTCTGATCATTTGATCGAATGATATGAGAAGTGCTGTTGTATAAGAATGGTGAACTTATATCAGAGCTGTAGCGCTCAAAATAAAGGTAGAAAGGCCAAAGAGTAACTTCTAAAAAGAATGTGTGTATGTGTGTTTCAGTTGTGGGCTCTCAGTAAGGAACAAAAGACTCGATGTACTCAGCTGAACTCTGACCTCCAGAGGAAACGAAGTCAGATGGAGAAGCGTTTGCGCAGCAGTCTGAAGAAAAAGTGAGGGCATCAACGTTTTAACCTTAATTAATGATGGCCATATTGTGCTTGTGTGACAACTGTTTGCTCTTTATTTCATATAATCTAAGAGAAAGTGGCATGACGTGTAGTCAAGTATCGTGTCCCATACTCGGACTTTGCGCTCTGCATTTCACACATCCGAGTGCACACACACAGCAGTGAGTATTGAACACACTCGTTCTGATTGGGGCTGCTTATTCAGCGCTGTTCATTCAGGTTGTGGATTCAAGTCTTAGTACTGGCAAGAAATGTTGGTGGGGGAGCGATTGGGGAATGACGAGTGCTCTCTTCATTCACTCCTAACCGACATTTCCTGCTGGTACTGAGACTCAAACCCACAACCTGAATGAACAGCGCTCTCTTCCACACTTAGGCTTAGGCCCTTTAATGGGTATTTTACATGGTTAAAGCAGGAAACAAACAACATCAATAGATAAAGGCAGACTGCAGGGGCGGATTGGGACCAAAAAAATCCACCCGGAAATTTCGTAGACCACAGTCCCTTGTCGCCGGCAGGGCCGGATTAAGAGTTCAGAGGCCCCTGGGCACAGTGTCTTGTAGGCCCCCTCTTATGGTGCGTTCACACCGGACGTGAATAGCGTGTCAGGCGCGAATGATTTCATTGTTAAGTCAATGCAAAGACGCGTTACGTGCGTAAAAAAATCCTGCGCCGCGAAAGACGTGAATATGCCTCATTCGCGCGTTAAAATTGAGCGTCTGGCGCCTTAAGCATGAATGATTTAGTTAATGCTAATTGTGCATTCATGCGTTTGACACGAATTCGCGTCTGCCACCCAAGCTGAAAAATCTGAACTTTGGCATCAATTCGTGCCACGTTAACCAATCAGGAGCCTAGCTGCTTGCTCACATGGTGAAGGATCTGGATGCTTCAATAAATTATTTTGTAATAAGACTAAATGCATGGTGGGATTCTAATGCACAACAAAGCAAATGTTTTATCACTTAAAACTTTATTTCTATATACGAGACATGTTTACTTTGTATTGAATGTTATTCATTCCATACCTAGCTTATATGAAATAGTATTATGATGTAAAAACAAGCAACATCTGCATAAGTTCGTATCTGGACGTGAGAGAGAAAAAAATCACAGGACAGGTTAATAACTTTTGAAGGCTGGCTCTATTTATCATCAAAACAAAAATTAATGACAGCTAGATTATATGGATGAGGGCGAGGGTGATCCTCACTCCGATGCGGGACAACATGTCATCAAACTGGCTGCGGGACAGGCGGAAGTACCACTGACTACGGCCGTCATCCAGCGCAGCTCCTGGAGCGAGCAAATGGTGAAACGGTTTTTCGCCAAACGGTTCGCCTCTGAAGGGTCAGGTGGATACAAATACGGTGACGATGATCCCTACGCCGCTGTCCTGCTCTCCAAAGTAAATACAGAGCGGTGAATCTCTCGATGAATGCTCGATCAACATAAAAAAAGATGGCCGCCAACAGGTTTCGATTTTGATGCTCAAGACGCGCGTAAATTACACTTCAAACTTTTGATTATACTTTTGTTATTCGCGTCCGGTGTGAACGTAGCATGAGGCAGGCCTAATGTATTTTTTTTCCAAGGACATTTTAATATGGCATTTACAGTTTTACTGATTTAAAAGGAACGTTGTTGCACTATGCTGGGGTATATGCAAGTTCATAAATGGTCTTTTTTTCCCATAGGAATTTGTAAAACTATGTTGGGTGGACTCTGTGCCTCTATGCTCCTCTGTAAGAAAATTTAGTACATTTTAAGGTTAAATGCATCAGTCTCGTGCTCTTTAAGAGATTTAAATTAAGAGCTTCAACCCATGAACTGCTTGTTGAGCAAAGAAAAAGCATTGATTTGTACCAGGACAATAAAGAGGGCTCAAACATCTTTTTAGTTATGAGAGTCTCAGCCAACATTACATTATCAATGGTGTTTTAGGATGCCAAACAATTATTATAATAATGTAATGATTATATAAATGCCTATAAATGAAAATGAATATTTCAATATTTTAGCCAACATTACACTATAATATAGGACAATTAAAATACTTTTGTCCTAATTTCTTCACTTGCAATGAACCTGGAACCAAGGATAGTTATTGCACCATTGCAAGAAATAAACCCTTGAGCTTTTATCTAGGAGGAAACACCAGATGACCATGCTGATCGAACTTTTCTTTAAATCACAGCACAAACAGAATGCCAATTTTTAAAGTCTTGTGCTGTTTTATAAAGGCACAAAGCCATATCGTGGTTTCGATTTTAGTTCGTTGGCAAAATATAACACTAGAGACCTTTATGTTAGGTTATACATTCAACTCATATGTGTTGGGAAAAGGGAGAAGAGATAGTTCGGCAAAAGGCGGATTTGAGTGCATCGCGTTGAGCGCATCAAAAGCTGCTTTTAAACATTTCACGCCTTACGACCTACGCAACTGTAGATATTTCGTGACAAGCATCTATTTACTATAAAGACAGGCACTTAATGCAAATATACACTCCATTCTCGAAAATGTGAAAAAAAAAAATTTCTTCCCCTCGCTTGGGCGCATGGCGAACTTGCAAAGTATAAATTTTATCAGATCGGCCCTCGCGGCCTCGAAACACTCCCGGCCCACCAGGGAAACTCCCGACTTTCCCGATTGCCACAACGCTACTGGCAGACTGCCTTATTTTCTTACCACTCTGACCTTTCATAGAACATTTAAACTTTTTTGCAGCTTGTCCCATACTCAATGTCACAAATTTGATTAGATGCAGAATCTGAAATATTTCTTCACTTTACTGTAGAACATTGCTTTGTTATAAATTATAAAACTTGAAAACGGATCTTGGTTTAAACAACATTGGAGAGTGTTCACTTTATGATGAGTGTTCATAATATCCTTTTTATTATTATTATTTTTTTATTATAAATGATTTTTTGTTGTTTGCATGTGCGCAGTGGGTCAGAGGAACCTGCGCAGAGGGAATTGAAAGAGCTGGATCTGGAGCTAGAGAGACAGACAGAGCAGTTCAGAGAGGAGCAGCTGCAGGAGCTTCTTGCGCTCAGACAGGCACAACATCAGACAGAGAAAGAGGCTAAACAATGCCACCTCAAAGAGGTATGACAAGCATAACAATAGCGCAAAGACATCGCTATCAGAGCTGCTCTAAAAGGCAGTAAACACCACACACACACGCTGCTAAAAATGCTGATTCTTTGTGATTCTGTGCTTCGGTCTCAGGCAAATCAGAAACTGAGGGAAATCGCCCAAGACTGCCAAGCATCCCAGATCAAAAAACTCAAGGAAGTGTGTGACAAGTAAGAAATGTTTGGTTGTGTTTTGAGGTGCATTTGTGTGTGCACAAATGCTGAAATGTCACATTTCTACTTGCAGAGAGAAGAAAGAGTTACAGAAGATTTTGGAAAGGAAGAGGCTAAACAGCATCATTGAGGCCAAGAAATCTGAAAAGGAAATGTTAGTAATGGGTTTTCTCATCTCGAGGACAGTGCTTGTCTGGGGTTAAATGGTTAACTCACCAAAAAAAAAGAAAAATTCTCTCATAATTTATATTTGATAAATCTTCAAATCGATCCAAACCTGTATGAGTTTCTTTCTTCTGTAGAACATAAAAGAAGATATTTTGAAGAATTAAAAAAAATCACTCAGGTTTGGATCGATATGAAGGTGAATAAATGATGACAGTTTTAATTTTTGGTGCATTCTTTAATTGCATTTTCTTTAAAAAAAAAAGAAAATTCAAAAATGCTGTCACCCTTGTGTGTGTTTTCTCCAGTAAAGTACAAAAAAAGTAACCACCTTATGTCATTCTATCTCCTAGCAGGGAGCTGACCGAGATCAATAGAAAACATATCAATGAATCGGTCAGCTTAATCCGTCAGGTGAGTTCTGGAAGTGTCTGGAATATGTAGTGTTATTTGGATTTCTGTGTAAATTACACCTTGTCCTAATTAGGTGCCACTCAAGTTTCTTTTCAAGTCTTTTTTTTTTTTTTGGCCTGTATTGAGAGCATACAGGCCCAGATGCACGAAACTGGCATTTCAGAACTAGTGGCAACAAAAGCCTGCCTTGGTGTCACCTCACATCACCTGCGTCTGAGCCAAAAAGTTGTGTTTGAACACACTGCATAGCCTATAGTCAGCAGCCTGCTACCACATACATTCTGTGCCTGCATGACTGGAAACAGTAGTCTGCTGCATGCGTCAATCAAAAGGGTAACCAGAAGAGCCACGACTGTTGCTATGACTGTTGTATAAACCGTAAAACACAGTAGTGGTTGCTTGCTTTCGAAGTTTTAGTTTTTTTTTTTCTTGTGCACTGGTTCACTAAAGCCTAGTTCACACTATATGATTTTAAAACGTCGGGCTGAACTGTGCGGTTCACACTACATGACTTGCTCTCTGTAATATCAATACTAGTGTTCAAGTTGTTGAGCTGTTCACACCACACGACACAACGTGATTTATCCGCAACAGGAGGAAACGCACCAAATGAGTTGACAACAACACGAGGCTCGTTTCCATTACAGATTTGCGTAAACATTTTGTGAGTATTTTCTAAATGTCCATGAAAAACTACTGCGAAATGACGCCGTTTAACCGATGTTATGCAACTAAAGCGTCTTTTTTTTCTCTCGCGATAAGTCGTTCCAAAAATCATGGCAACGGACGTTGGTAGGTTTATATCACAGCCACCGCACTAGACATTATTATTATTAATGGAATAAGACGTGGTGTGTTATCCAAGCATTAATGCCAGGGAAAGACACCTGGTTCACAAAAGCCCCTGTTTTCTGGACTAGAACCGTTTTTTACCACGTCATGCTTACGTCGGGGGCTGGGGCGTGTTTAGATGTGTTCTAAACATCTTTTCTGACCATAATAAAGGATTGGTACACGAGTTAGGGATAATCCCAAAGTAATGATACTTGCAAGCGTTTCTAGCTAAAACGTATGGCGACGTACACAGTGACGTAACGACGCCGTTCCCTGGGTGCTCTAGTCAGTGAAAAAACAAACAGGTTCTGAAGCGTTTCGCATGTTGAACCAACTCCAAACCAAATTTGAACCAGCACCAGTTACCAGGCTATAATAAAGGTCTCTTAAAAAATAACAAGGTATTTTAATTGATTATTAATAAACTATTGTTTTCCTAAATCAATATCGGCTAAAAATCTCCGGATGCACCTTTAGAGAGAAATGGACATTTCATACGGATTACATAATCAGAAGGTATTAGCTTTCGATTCGAATTTGTTCGTTTTAAAGTGCATTTCAAGCTTTAACCTACATAGGCTATATTTGGTTTCAGTTCTCGCACTTCAGTTCACGGAGATCATGAAAGCGCACCTGATTGTTTTATTTTATTTGACAAAAGCACAACGTTTTCTTGTTATTGTGAGATTATGCAAATAAAAGTAGTTACGAAATGAAGTATTATTATTTTCTTTATGACCAGAAATGATAGATTATTTTAGGTTGTTTCCACTGTTGATGGGAAAATGCAAGTGCTCACGCCCGTGCCTCCCTGCCGTCCAGTGCGCACTCCATACGACTCCGCACACACTGAATGCGTCAAAAACTTGTGTTTATTTGTGATAATCTTAGCCATAGTATTATTATTGTCCAACCTGTATTATGAATGAAATGTGACGCATTGATTTGTTCCTTTTATGGATAAAAGCGTCTTCTGCATTATGTAGCCTAATAAATGTTATAATAATGATGATAATTATTATTATTATTATTTGCAGACACGGACCCGCACACAGTGTCTTCTAAGTCAGGTGACTGTAAATGCGCAAAACCCATTTTCATTGCAGTTTTGCGAAATATTCCTTTTTCGAATTGCCTGAAAAACCTCCTCATGCGAGCATAAAAAAACTTTTTTGCGATAAACAGGAGTTTTTGCGAAATTGACGTGTTTTTTATTGAGCGTATTTTCATTTAGCAATTTCAATTTGCGCAATTTGAAGAGTAATGGAAACGCGGCTTCTGTCACCCAACGATTCTATCTTGTCTACAAACCACGTTTTGTCACGAAAAATCACACGATAAAACAAACTGGAAATGATGCGAAACAGCACTCAAAGTAAACCTGACAGGCTTTTTTTGGACAGCTTTCTTATATTGGACAAGCAGAAACCCCGATTATGGCTTGACGCTGTTATTGCTCCTCACCTTGTTAGGACAAAGTGTTACAGAGCCATATAAAACATACTCAAGTACAATCAATCAAGTTCATTAAGTTCGTCTTCCTCATAAAGTCTCTTAATTCCTTCTCTCTCTTTTTGTAGCTGGAAGTGTCTCAGGGGAAACGTCAAGAGAAGTTGAAAGCCCTTCACAAGGACATCCTTCAGAAAATTGAGGAGGAGGTTCCACTGGTCAGTCCAATCACATCCTAACATGCTAGTCCCTGTTCATTTTGATCGATTCCTCTTTAACACAAAATTTAGGAAGTCTTACTTGCTGAAATGTCCCATAGTAACTATTGCGTTTGCCTAAATTCCTTAGTTACAGAAGATATAATGCCAACCAATGCCAATCACCAAGATAAAAAGTAATGGTTAATTCAGGTTCTGAAAGCTTCTTGCACTTTGGGGTGGGGGTATCCCAGACACGATTAACCAGTAGGAATTTGGTATACTATCTATATACAACTCAATTCAGTATTTGCACACAGTTTGACAGACAGTTTTCTGAGCGCGCACACATTCAAAGCGTATGCGCAGAAAGCCACCTGTAATACAGTTTGTAACCCCGTAAAAAAAATTTTCATTTCTAAGGCTATAAAAGTATTACTGAATAATCCATCAATGCATTTTCAGCAGATATTGAAATAATAAAGGGTCTCAATGAAATATGTGCAGTGTTGCATGTTTACTGTAAATAGTCACATGACCAGAGCTGTTTATTTCCTATTTTTGCCAAGAGAAGAGGATGGCAGCAAGACAGCTCCCAAAGAAAAGATTAGTAAAGTATGTTAACATAAAGATAGGACATAGATTTTTGGTACACATATGCATTTGCAATTACTCAACTTTGTTTAATGTGTTCATAGAACTCACAAACATGTCAACGGTAACAATAGTGACCGTTGGGATAACACATTGTATCTAAATGCCAATACACAATACCTAACTTTCTACCTAATTTTACATACAGACATACACAGAAACACACACACTAGCACACCACACACTCCACGCACGCCACAGATAGCCCACGCACACACACACCCCACACATTCACATCACACACCCAACACCACACACTCCCCACCATGCACACCCCACATGCACGCAAACCACATACCCCCCACACACACAACCAACACCCCACATGCATGCGCACCACACACCCCACATGGGCACAGAACACCCCACAACCTTTTTGTTTTCTCTTAATAATGTTAATGAGCAAGGAATTTTTTTTGTGGAATGGCACTCTAAAATCCTCATGTCTTTGCAGGACCAGGCCCGTCTGACACTCGAGTGCGAGGCGGAAATGACGCTCTTGCCAGGGGAGGTGTCTCGCTTCATGCAGGAGGTCGAGAGCAAAGGCTCTCGTAAAGACACCCTGATAGGTCAGGCCAATGACAGCCTCAGCTCTGGCCCCTCCTCCAACTGCAGCACGCCCCCTTACACCTCCCCAAACCACACCTGGGGGAGCAACATGGGCAATGCTGTCTCAATGCTGGAATCCTCCTCAACCTCAAACACTCCCGTCAAGTCAGAGACGGACACTACAGGAGTGTACTAGTGATACTACAATTTGTTTTATTTGTTTTTCCCATCACTCTCTCCAATCCATTTTTGTCCGCAGTGGATTTAAAGAATAGACATAGTATTACTAAAACATTTTATGATTTTTTTTTTTTTTTTTTCTGAGGATTTTTGTTGTTGTTTTGTTTTTTCTTAAAACTGGCATACACTCTGCCACTGTCTGTCGGAATCAAATCTGGCATCTTTTAATTTTTTTTTAAACCAAAGTTTTAATGGATTTTGAATTTTATCCAGCTCTAACGACGTGGGCTCTCGTCCATACTAATTCCTGTTCGTAAGACACCTGTGGAAACCAAAGGGGACGGGCTTCTCTGTTGTATATTTTGCACTTTTTGCAGCTTTACATGTAGTTCCACAAGTTGTCCTGAAGGTGGCAGTGTAAATTTGACAGTAAAGGCTGTGATGCTAGCGCTAGGCTATTGCTTAATCTGGTGATACATGTTTACATAATAATGCACAGATGGACTATTCTTTTATCCACCCCCGAAAAACACAATTTCATTCATTTCATTACCCCACTGCAACCGAAACATCCTGTCATGTGAATGTTTATCGGGTTTTAAATTCACTGTCAGAAAAAAAATGAAATCTGCAAAAATTATACCAATAAGGGAACAGTACCTTGTCACAACTGGACAACTTTGCTCCTCATCGGAGTTCTAATATGTACCGTTAAAAGTATTACAGGCAATCTTTTGGGGTTAAATATGGTGTGTTGTCCATTTAACACAGCGGTTGTAACTAAAGCTACATTTTTTTTTTGTTTCCCATGACACTTAAATGTTTAAGTGCCTCACATCTACATATACAGTGCTTGAACTCTTTCACCCAGATAATTATTTCTAAAATCGTGTAATCCCACTCGCTCTCCTTCTCTCTGTCGGTTGGCTTAATCTAATCCCGACTCTTGGTAATTGGCAGTGATCCCACATCTGACGCTGTCTCAAATCCAGTGATGTCCAGGAAACTTAATGGGCCACCCCTTGTATTTTTTGTCCAACCGCAGATGAATCCACTCACGGCTTGGGTGCGGTTCCACTTCGGATCCCATCTCAGGGACTCTGCGTGCAAATCCCCCTTCCGGCTTTATCAAGGTCTATTCAGAGGCATAACATTGTTGCATAATATGCAACAAAAAACAGCATATGATTTGTTTAATGTGAGATTGAAGCAAGACTTTTTCAGCTTAGCTCTGCAATCCAGGGCTTTTTTTAATCCATTGGAATGCATGACCGTTCTCATATTGTAATCTGGTCTGCTGTCACCCTCCTCTTCCTGTTTACTTTTTATAAATCGGGTCAATTTTCTGGTTCTGTGTCCAGTTGCTTCTCTTCCCCTCATTCCTTTCACTCTCTTTGTGTCTCTCAGGGCTCCGAGGCTCAAAATTAAGAAAGTTGGAGTTGGCGTGCTAGCACGCATCATTCACACTATAATACCAGAGCGTGAAAGTGTGTTTTATGTTTTATGAAAGACGATGATTACAGCACTTATATACGCTGAGTGAGTAACATAATATGCCACATGCATGTTACGTTTCTTCTGCATGCATTGATGGAAATATTTCCTAGAGTAATTTACAAAGTGTGTGTTTGTGTGTGTGTGAGGTAAGTGCTGGCTGCGAGAATGGACACTGCACAGTAGAGTTTAGAAGGCCAGAAAGCAAAAGGGCTGAAGTGAGATGGACAACACCATCTTTCACTATGGTTTGTTCGTTGAGGGTTTTCTATGACTCGGCCCATTTAATGTGTTCTCTCGTGTTAAGTCAATAGCTTTACATACCCGTATAAGCAGGGATAAATGGTACTTGCATGTAAACGTTTCCTCTCTCCATGTCTCATTATCTTTGGAGAGGGACATTAGTAATGTACATATTACCAGGAAATATTAATGTGTGTATTTCAGTGGAAAACACACGAGTTTATATCGATCTACATATAATTCATTCCATTTTAGAGGTAAATGAATTTTTACTACTGACTAGAGGTGAAGTCGTGAGTGACGTCTGTCTTTTTGCTTGTCTAAGGCTGATCTAGTGTCCCAACAACACGTGCACATTCTACAGTCGTCCCAAGCACCATTGAGCTGTTTGTCATTTTATTTTATTTTTTGGGTTAAAATGAGGTACAAGCGTTTAATAAGAAGCACCTAAAAACTTTATGGCCTGTAATTTTTTAAATTGTAGACACTTTGTGATTGTCATTTTCCTCAAAGTGGCATGATTCTGTATCATGCCTGTGTTATATCGTGTTTTGGTTTTCTTATGTTTAGTAATGGTTGAATGGCACTACTTTATCATTTAAAAACCACAAAATTCCATTTTTTTTAAATCATGGGATTTAGAACCCCACTTTTTAGTGTCTTAAAAGGGTACAAAATTCAGGTTGTTCTTCTGTTTGTTGTTGTTATTATTTTAATTTTAGCACCTTTTATTTTGAAAATGCTTTGCAAATCGTGTCCTGTAAATTGAGTTCTTTGTGTTTTCAAAGCAGACAATATCATGATAGTTTCAGTCTATATTCAGATGTCGTCAGGGGATGAGCCAGGCTGGTCCATTACACTTGTGGGACCATACTGAAATCTGTGAGGACTGTCGTCAGACTTTAAGGGACAAAACCTGCTAAACCAAGGGCTAACTTCTTGCTCGGCCTCAGTTACAGCTTTAACCAAGTATATATCTCATACTCTGCATCTGTCTCTTTCTCAGCTTCTACTGAAATGCTCTTTTGTTAACACTGTATGTAGATAATGTGGTCTGCCTTGTTTAAAGGGAAAACTATTACTCTGGATGTAATTTTTATTGCCTCGATAAATAATATAACTGTACATTCAATAAATACAGAACATTGTCAAACATGTCTTGCTTGTTGCTTCCCTTTTTCAGTTCTACTTTTATAAAACAAGTTTTTTAGATTGTGAAATGGTTTTGATCTTGTGTGACGGACAGATTACGTGACATGATGGTGTGCGAGACATCCTCGGTTACACAAAATGTGTTATTTTTATTGCTAAAATGAGTGGAGAACAAAGCAATATAAAATTTAGTGAATGATAGTATTTATTATATTTTGCTTATTAGCTTATCTAGTTTATGTGCTTTAAAAAAATTTGCTGTTTAGCTTTTGTTTTTACATTTTTAGTGATTTTAGTACTTGAACTTTTTTCTTTGAGTTGGTAAGGCAATATTTCTTTTTTGTTTTGGGTTTGCATTTTTCATGTAGTGTAAATAAACTAGTTTAAGTTAATGATATCCCTGCAAATTTACATTTCGTGTGAATTGTTGTTGTTTTTAATGTAAAAATGTAGAATGTTTTGTGATGGGTTAGTGTAAAGGGATCGAATATACATTGCTGGTCAGAATTATTTGCCCTCTTTTATTAAATACTTTTTGCAACCTTTTTTTTCCAAGATAACAGCTCTTGAGTCTTCTATTATGCCTGATGAGTTTGGTGAACACCTGATAAGAGATAAGAGACTCCATACAGAATCTCTCCAGATCCTGCAGATAACCATATCCATGTTGGCACTGCTTCTCTTCAGTTCAGCCCACTTATTTTCTATAGGGTTCACTGTCCGATCCAAATAAGCCCCGTTGTAAGATTTCTAGCTCAGCCTGTCAGGTTTTGATTTTCTATCTGTTGGTTTTTTAATCAAATTCATGACCAGGACCTCTGGAGAAAGAAAATTAGGCTCACAGCATTAAAGATACAGCAAAACAGTATGGTTCCTTTCTGAACTTTCAAGAACTCCCTGTGCATCCATGCTGCCTAGCATAGTGTAGAGAGAGCAGCAATAACCTCCCTTAGGGTATACAGAACAGAACCAACATGGATGTATTGCAGATAGCGTTAAAGGCACACTATGTAATTTTTTGACGCTAGAGGTCGCTTATTCAAAACAAAGGGGTAGCGTGATGATGCCTTGATTTCACGGAATCTAGGGAGTTGTTGTCTTCACCTTTACAGCTGATGGAGAATACGACGGTACTCATAGATGTCAGGAGCTTTTATTATTAACGCGCCGACGCTGGTTCCGCTTCTTCCGGTCATGCGTATTTGGGGTAATGCAGCACTGTTTTATCATATTAGATACATTTGAGTGTGATGAAAGTAGTTATAATATGCTACTCTGTGCGTTCGCTCAGCGGCTACCAGAGGTGGGGACAAGTCACACATGGTCAAGTCCAAGCAAGTCTCAAGTCTTAACCATCAAGTCTCGAGTCAAGTCGCAGTTCAGATAAATCAAGCAAGTCAAGTCAAGGGTTCACCCTAAGCAAGTCAAGTCAAGTCCTGATAAGTTTCAAGTAAAGTCAAGTCACACTACTAAAATAAATAGAGGTAAATTTTTTCGATACATATTTATTTTTGCACAGAAAAGATGAACTTTTATACATATATTATGTATCTTACATTTGCTATATTAATCATATGCATATCTGTGCTACATTAATATCTGAAAATAAAATAAAATTGTGTTGTTTACACAAAACGTTCAGAGTCTAAGATGTATCGATTCTAAGATGTATAATCCAATCTGTCTAATTCAATTTAATTGAAACAGTCTAAAATGTATGAAATCTAAAATGTAATATCTTATATCTTATATAAATGTAAAATATAAAATCTAAAATGTATGAAATGTATGAGAATATAAAATGCAATTATATAAAATATGTTAATAAATATAAAATATGTTAATATGTTATATTAACATATTTAAAATATGTTTAAAATAAATATAAAATAAAAATGTTAATATAACATATTTTATATTTAATAAATATTACATATTAAATAATATTATGTATATTATATATTAAATTTACATAAATATTAACAAATGATTGTTTTAATTATGGAATTCTCCATAATTAACTCCTAAACTTCAGTAGAGAACAATTCTTTGTAAGGTTTCTTTATTGTACATTTATTTGCATGTATGTAGCATATGGTTTACGTTGCTTTAAATTGGTCAGTGCAGTGCTGACTATTGAGTGTCGCTAGGAAACACGTCCGCGCTGCGCTGACGAATCGGCTGCGCGGCTCGGATCATTGAACCGTGCAGATGACATGTCTGTGCGGCACGAGCTCTGTAAAGCCCCGCTGTCTCGTCCCACTTTGGTTTGTTTGGCTTCCCATATCTCTGCCGTGCACACGCCGCACGCTATGTATGTTATACGCGCAATATCTCGCTCTAGATTCCGGGAGATTTTAACTCATTTGCGGGCATCAGGGAGACGCTATCAATATGCGTGAGACTCCCGGAACTTCCGTTTGGCGCGGTTTGAATTGAGCAGCGTTAAAGGCACAGATGCCGATATAGTGATGCTGACGTCACAATATATTTTAATTAACTGTATTGCTGTTTGTTTATTATATGTTCAAGTCATTGTCGAGTCTTCCACTTCAAGTCAAGTCAAGTCTCAAGTAACTTGTTCTCAAGTCAAAGTCAAGTCAAGTCATTTTTGTACTTTAATCAAGCAAGTCACAAGTCCTGAAAATTGTGACTCGAGTCAGACTCGAGTCAAGTCATGTGACTCGAGTCCCCCACCTCTGGCGGCTACTATATGAGACACTGCGGTGAGCTTGATCGATATTAGTTATGGTACTCGTGGTAAACTAGATTTAAACAGTGTTGAGCTGTAGAACAATGATTCGTTTTCTGTCGATAAATGTATCCAAACAGTTGCTCACCTCTTTAATAAAACACATAATATATTAAAGTGTTTCCATGATTTGGTTTCTACAAAATAAACCGTAAATCGAGGGTATCGAGGGTATGATGTCATTAATAGGCGATGCGCGGACATGGTCCGTGTCCTGGTTAAAACGGCTTATTTCTCTGGATTTAAACAGTCTTAGAAACATTTGGGATAATGTAAGTACACGAATCAACAAAATGTATAACATTGTTCTGGTGGTTTTTGGATATTTTAATCCAAAAATCTTACGTAGTGTGTCTTTAATTCAAGAGTATAAGTCAGCATGATTCTTGAATTTTATTCTGATTCGAGGGGAAACAGAATGCCAAATCCTGACTGATGATAGGAGGAGCTGGGGATGGAGGAGGGTAATTAGCTTCATAATACTTTATGAGATTATATATGAATGCAGTGATAGGTGTCGTATTCTACTATTGGTAGACATGGATCAGCTGAGAGTCAGCTGATGCGAGCTTGATTAACGTGACCTGCCAGAACTGACGCTACGCTTGATTTACCAAGGGGAGTCAGGGGACAAATGATTCTGACCAGCACCGTACAGTTTAAAAACCCATCATGTCTGTGGAAAGTCCCCATAAAACACAACATTTGTGTAAAGCTGTGGTATTGTAAGTGATAAGACTCATAAGTTTTAAACTTCAGGGAACAAATATGTGAAGCACTTTTGGAATTTTTTTTTTTTTAATCCCCCTTTACACAAAAGCATTGCAGTACATACATAAAGCATTGTGGTGTTGAATATTATCATTCAGCTTTGCTGTACGGTTTGCTGTATACTGTAAGTAGATACTATTGTCATATGGCATTGCTTTGTAGAGTTAATACTTTCTCAGTTGTCTTCTGATGGTTTCTTTTGAAAGACATTTGTGAAACTAACACAGTCTCATCCCAAAAAGTCATAACTGACGTCTTGGGACGTTTTTTGACCATACGTCAATATCCGCCTTTTTAGGGCCCCCTTAAACGTCGGTAGATGGCGATCCCGGGCCGTCATACAACTGACGCTTTACCTTTAACGTCAGTTAGGTGACAGGTTAGGTTTAGGGTTAAGTTTAGGTCTGGGGTAGAGTTAGGATCCCATAACCTCATCTACCGACGTTTAAGGGGGCCCTAAAAAGGCGAATATTGACGTATGGTCAAAAGACGTCCCAAAACGTCAGTTATATGACGTCTTGGGATGAGACCGGGTTGGTGAAACATGATTTTTAGAATAAACTTTGTTCCATTTTTGTCTAGTTTATAAAGTTTTACCACAGAGTTGCCTTTTCAGAGCAGCTGTTTAAAAAAACATACAATAAATGTGAGGCTTATGAAAGCGCCTCAGAGCTGAATGGAATTTCTAAGACCCTTCAACAGCTTCTAAGTACAAAAGCTTCTCCTGTCTTCATTCATATTGAAGATTGCGACAGTAAAAAAAAAAAAAAGCCTGTTTCCCTTTACAGCTGGGATTGCTTTGCAAGGCTTGCTTATGTGATGGGACAGTGATGTTGCTGGTTGGAACTCCATTTCTGATTGCGTCTTAACAAACACAATCCTCCGCAATCTCCTTAAATATTAGGATATCAATTTACTTGGATTATCTAGATACCTAGTTAGTTATGCTATTAGGTTATTAGGATAAAAAAAATAAAAAATCAGACATTAGAATAAAGCATACATGAAAGCGTGTAAATCTTCACAGTGGGAGCCTACCGGTGCAAATTATTTTATTTTGCTTTTTTTCTAATTAAATACAACAATATTCATTCCAAATTATATTTTAAACTCAATATGAGTGAACTGAAAAATTAGCATTGCATATTGTCATATTTATATTAGAGCGAGTTTCTTTCAGTTAAAGACAGTTCAAGCTCAAAAACCACTTGCACAGTGTGATACATTTCATTCAGTTGTGCATCCCACAAATCTCCATCAACTGCAAGATGCTATCCTATCAATATGGGCCAACATTTCTAATGCATGCTTTGAGCACCTTGTTGAATAAATGCCGCATAGAATTAAGGCAGTTCTGAAGACGAAACACAGTATTTTATATATATATATATACAATCACCTAAAAAATGATTAGGAACACCATACTAATACTGTGTTTGACCCCCTTTCGCCTTCAGAACTGCCTTAATTCTATATGGCATT